GGATGGGAAAACTGAACGCAGGAAATTAGCTTAATGTATGAAAATGTGAGAATGTGGCAAAGTTTCTTCAGAACTCAAAGTTAATCCTTGATTTAAATCATTATAATTCTGTTTTTAATTCTCCCGCTGCACGCACACGTGATCATTAAAGAGTGATTAAGACTGTTCACAGGTGCAGGAAATGATAACATAACAAACTAACAGAAAATGGAACAAAAAGATCCGAGATACTGAAGAAACAATCAAATAGAAAAGAGGAGGTAGTAATGTAAAAATCAGACAGAGAAGAGAAAAATGGTTGAGAATTACCGCAAAAATCAAACATTGTTGGGAACAGGGCGCTACATATTAATCTAAAAGTTAAATGGAGAAGACAACAAACAGAGTGTAATATACTAAAAGAAAAGTATTAACAAATTGAGAAGAAGAGAAACGGTGAGCGCATTATTGAGATAAAATTAGGAGAAAACATTGCGCGAGATACTTACGCTAAACAGAAGGGTGCAAACAGTTCGTAGGATATGAACGTGACAATCAGCCAGAAAGAGTAAACCCTTTAACTCCCAAGATCTCATTAGTAATCCTCCCTATTGTCTGCCATAAAATATTCATGATTTCAATTTGGAGAATTTGGTATTGGATCAACTTGTAGTTCTCTAATTGAGTTTTCTTCTTTATTCTCCTCACTTGTCTGCTTGATTCTGTGTTGATGTTGTAAGGAGAAATTCTGTCTTGGTCAGTCATGGGAGTTAGAGGGTTAAGGAAAAGAACAGAGGGCTAGATTCAAATATGGGAAACAAATTTAAATTGAAACAAACAATAAGGTAGATATTAACTTGGAAATCAAACAGAGACGAGAAAAGCATTGTACAAGATTTGAATGAAATATTTCATCGGAGGAGAGAACGAGCTATGCACAAGATTTAACTAAACAAAAATACCAAACATAGCAGAGAAAAAAAAAACAGTGCTCAATATAATCTCAACAAACAAAGTTAAAAGAAGAAACAGTGGACTGGACTAACAGTAAAATCATAGGCTTGCAATGCATGCAAGAGTGCTTTTTTTGGCTGGGTAAGTTGGGGTGGGACACTGTGTAACTGATGTTTTCATTTTTGTAAAGGAAAAGAGCCTTAAACTCAAAAAGAACGAAAATAACACATAAGTTTAGTTAAAAGAAAGGAAAAAAGTGCTTATTTTTCTGAATAAAAACTCACGCGTAGTTATTTCGTGGTCCATTGTCTATGTGGTCTGAGTAATTAGAAACAAAAATAAACTTACTTTACCTTAAGAGAGAGGAGGAGAGAGAGGGGGGAGAGAGGGGGAGAGGAGAGAGGGGGAGAGGAGAGAGGGGGAGAGGAGAGAGGGGGAGAGGAGAGAGGGGGAGAAGAGGGGGAGAGAGAGGGGAGAGAGAGGGGGAGAGAGGGGGAGAGAGAGGGGAGAGAGAGGGGGAGAGAGGGGGAGAGAGAGGGGGAGAGAGAGAGAGAACATTTATTTTTAATAACCACTTCTTTTGATCCATACAACTTGGCTAAAGGGGAACTGTTTAGTTCCTCTAATTTGCTCCAACTTCAAGATCGTGGCTCATAACTGTTCCTAATAATATGCATGAAAAAATTACTCAGTTTTGATTCAAGATAAACGCATTTTTCAGGTAATTCAATGCAGAGGAGGGTTAATTCAGCGCAAAGAAGTAACCAGAATTCCGATTGGTCAATAATCAAAGAAACTCACAGATAGCCAATCAAATACGAGCCTCAGATGTCGCAACATTTGGATACGCTGAAAATTTGCGAGCTAACCAAGGGCCCGCGTTTTCAGTAGGTTTTCTTTCGCCACCGCAACAACAATACAGTAGCTGAAAAACAGCTCTAACAACGAAAACACTGTAAAAAGCACTACTCTTTAGTTATCGGTTTGGAAAAAGTAATGTTTAGAGAGGGGAATTGCCGAGGAAATTGAAAATTACGAGCAGACCCGGCTTAACACTTTGCCCGAGCGATCTTACGCCGAAATTAAAAGCAAACGTGATTAAACATCGCAAACGACGATTCCATTTCATTGAAAGTGATTCGGACACAAACTGAACAATTCCTTGAACTGTTTAACCGAACTTTGAACTTTTTGTGCCCTAAAGATGTGAAAATATCATTGAATATTATTGTTTTGATCGTACGCAGTTTTTTGACCGACCGAACGCACGGTTTGAATAAATTATTTTTTCACTTGGTGTGCGCGCTTTGCTTCTCCACAATTATGATAAGCTATCTCGTATTTTTTCATGTATGTTATTAATACGTACTAACATGATTTTTCTCGTGCAGTTTGTAATAAATAAGCACTCACTTAATGAGTGACCAATTCACATCTACGCATTGACAAACGGCAGTCGAATCCCTTGGAAGGAATCTAAATGTCCACATTTATTCTCTGATGAGACTAAGAGCACATTTGAAAGTTCGGAGTGTCCGACGTATCTCCAGCCTTCTTCTCAGATAACGCTCAGGTCCAAACGTTCCTTTACAATGAAATAATACAAAGTTTATGTTCTTGGGCATAACTATGTTTTGTGCCCGACTCAGAGTCATTTTAGCCCTTTCCGTCAGGCGAAGGTTATAATGCCACTGAGAAGGGCCCAAAAACACAATCATGCTTCAGAACATAAATTGTTTTACTATCATTTATACTTTTGGAGGGTATTGGGGAAATAAAAACCGAAACAATGGGGAAAAAGTCAGAAGGGAGGAGAGGGGATTCCGGATGGAGTGGGTCAATAGTATTCTGGCCATCCCCGCCCCCTCCTCTGCTCTGCAGGCTAAGAATGGCAGAGCGCTACAAGGCATTGCAAAGAAAGGCTATACGTGGGAAAGCCAACGAAAGAAGAACTTGGGTATGCAAGCTTCCACAGTTCGCTGCGCAGATGAATCAATACAGGGGTATTCAAGGGAGGTTCTTTGAATAATCTGGAGGCCCAAATCATCGGAATAGACCGAAGTTAGGACGATAGAATATGGAATTGTTTGTGACATTCTTGCTAAATTTAGCCGGTTTTTAGACCCCGACAAAGGGGACTGGAGACTACTTACCCTTTGTATGTGATTGGTCGATGTTTGGGACACCAAAATTTAAAGATGAAAGAGACGACGGATTCCTTTCGATTAAAGCATCCATTTCTTTCAAACTTTTTAAACTTTCATTTCGATAGAGTGATGGAAGCTAGTGAGTTAGAATGCTGTTGACAGAGGAAAACCTCAATTCCAATGGTGTGGTCACGAAACGGCGAACCTTCAAGAGTGTTACAGTTGTCTTGGGTCGAAATGAATTTCGCGACATCGCTCTCCGAATTGTAAGTCACTGACTAGTAGTCAATCTTCGTTGGGACAGACTTTTCCTGAAGGAATTAACCATTCACAAACGGTTGTTACAGGAAGGAAAGGCTACCATCAAACTTCTAACACAGAAGATTCAAATAATGTTTTCGCATTGTCCACCGAATCAGCTCGCGACGTTTTTAAAATGTCTGTCATTGAAACTTGCTCAAAGTAAACAAAATGGAATTGCAAGTAACAGAAGACGGCTTCTCAGTGATAAAGTGCGGTCCTATGAAAACATAAGCCCTCTTACAGACAACGATTTCACAGTGGGCCGCAAGAAAAGACCTCTGGAAGATAAGAGCGGTATGACACCGAAGCGAATTAAAACTACAGGTAGAAAAAGCGATTCGAATTGTGGAGACGACGAACACAGCGGACCGGAAATAAGACGTCTCAGGTCTTTGAGTTCTTTTCAAATGAATCTTATACCTGAACAAAGGGCAGTGATAAACGCCATAAGAGCTGGAAAGAGTGTGTTTTTTACTGGTAGTGCCGGAACTGGCAAGTCATATCTCTTGAAACGTTTGATAACAATGTTACCACCTCAGAGTATCTTTATAACAGCTAGTACGGGAGCAGCAGCTTGCCACATAGGTGGGGCTACGCTTCATGTGAGTGTGCGTGCGTGTGCGTGTGTTTGTGTGTGTGTACTTATATGTACATATATATATAATATTGTACACACACACATGTGGCATGTGTATATATATATTTGCTTAAAGGGCATGTAAACCCAAAAAACGTTCATTTTCTTTTCACATAGATGTTTAGTAAATATATCAAGTACACCAAAGGTACCATTCGTTTATTCTCAAAAGTCCATTTTCACTTTGTAAAAGCTCTTCCAAATTCGAAACATTCGCCATCTTGAATGGCGCCATCTTTCCTGTGACGTCACGGGTGGACCCTTAAAAGTCTCGTTTTATAATCGCGTGAGGCACGAAGGAGTCTTTTCTACAGCCGTTGTTTGCTGGTCTCGTCATGATTTTTTTACTTACAGTTTGCTTCAATATAATCAATTTTTCGTAATGGTGAAGCGTTGTGCCGTCCAGTTTTGTACTGATTCAAACAAAACTGGGCATACAATGCAAATATTTCCAAATGACGCAAATTTGGAAATGACGCAAAATGAAGCGACAATTTGTGAAATTTGTTCAAGTGAAAATAGCCGATTTCGTCGAGCCGTTCGAACGTTCTGTTGTTTGTGGCAGTCATTTTTCTTCCTGGTGCTGTACCGACGATTCAGGCCTCACCAGAAGCAAATTATTCGGAAGACGAAAAACAACCCATACAGTCGGCAGACGACGAGGATTCGGAAGTGGCTGACCAAACTGAGAAAGGAGTTGAGCTCTTCAAAAGTTAGAGGTCAACAGAGAAAGTACAAAATCGATTTACATGAGAACGTTTCGTTAATTAAACAACAATAGCTTTATTGGTTCTCTAAAAACATCTTTTTTCTCATCTAATGAAAGATTATGGGGAAGCCAGTTGTTTGGGAGCCAGCGCTGAGCCCGTAAAAGACACTGACATGTCTGAACCTTTGCCTGAATTCGAAACACGTATCAAAGAAAGAGAATTCAATTCGTTGATATCAGTGTGTAATAACGTGATCTGGAATTTTGTCGGTTCTATACAAAGAATTCTATACAGGATCCCATAATCAACCCTTATGTTCTATAAGAAAATCCATGCCAGCCCCACTTAGTGCTTCCTTTGAGAAACCCTGCAGAGAAACAGCAGAAGAATTTGTGTCGCGGTTTTCACAGCAGTGAAAATACCGTGATTCAAAGGTCAGTAGGACAATATTCATCATTTTGAGTACAACTTAAAAGATCCTGATTTCAGCTTGCAAAACTATCTTTTCAATATTTCAAATCGAAGCAAACACAAACAGGGTTGGATAATTATGAAGGCCACACAAGGAAATGTACATGATACAACTTGTTTATCGATGGAAATGCTTTTGAGATGAAGGATATTGTTTACCGCACAAGATAGCACAGCGACCCTAAAGTGTTTGCCGAGATATCCCCAACACCAACGAACAAGCTATCTGTAGGCAATTTAGCGAAATTTCCTGCCAGGAAAGAAGCGAAAAACAACTAGCTCTAGTACTGTATTATTAAATCAATGACAGAAACAACTCAAGTAAATCGATCTCAAAATGTAACAAAACAGATGAAACAGAAAATATTTAGCTCAGTCGTTTCCGGTGTGATTATCTGTGCTTTGCTGCTGCCTGTAAGCGTACTTGGCCGTCTCCAGCACCCAGAAATCGAGGCAAATTGACTGAAAACCTGGATGCTCAGTGATACAACTTATCTGGGTTTCAGGCCATTTTGCCACAATTGCCCGATTTCCGTACAACAAACACTTTCATGAGTTGTCGGCATTGGTTGACAAGTTCCACACTCGCACCTTTGATAATTTTATATAAAACACTCTCAGAAGCTCAAGTTTAAAAAATTCTGTTGCATTCCTTTAGATTGTACCCTCGCTTTATTGCATTTTCATGTTAAATACAAATAAATCACAAAGTAAATTAAATACCAGTCTGAGTTTCCGAGACGGTCGCATCGCTGTCGACATGTTCTGTACTGTCTTCGTGCGGATCGCTTCGGTGAACCCTACGCGGCTCATATTGTTAAGGACGTGGCCCAGACTCTCCTGAAGATTCTGGATTATCCCCAGCGCTGTCATGTACTAAGCTTAAGGCATTCGAGTCGCTATCTTCTGAAAAAACATCTTCCGGACTACCGCTACTTACACGAACTCCCACACCAGTTCTACTGGGGAATATGTGTTGCGCAATATTTTGGTTCCACCGCTTACGTCACGACTTCTCGCTATTGTTTTTACCGGAAATGGAATTTCAGTTGAAACTGCCGATTTTCTCCTAAAAAAAGTCGAATTGGACAAAACTAATTTCAAATTCGTTTTCTACGCCACTTTTTACATAGTATAAGAAAAACATGTATTTTTGGGTTTACATGCCCTTTAAAGTAAAGTTAATCCAATACTTTTTTAAAACAAAGCCTTAGTCCCACGCGTCATTTGTTATTTTCTCATTGTTTTCTTTTATCAGAGAACTGAGAACATAATTAAGAATGGAGTTCTACAGGGATTATTCAAATAAAAATGGCTCAGGATTTGGGTGTTTTCCAAGAAGTGCCAGGAAGAACAAGCCTAACAAGTCCACTCAAATTCCACATATGGAGCATCCAGAAGCTTAGAAAAGGTAACTGAATTTTGATATTTGTAATACCCATAATCCAGGTTTAATTGGTACTTGTTTAAAATTATTTTGATTGCTTTGTATCAACTGGCTGTTGATTTCTTTAGCACAGCTTTTATAACTGCTTTGTGGCAAAAACAAAAAAAGAAACATTTAGGCTGAGACTTTGTACAATTATACCCTTGCGAACTGAATTCCCAGTTTTCTGGGAATTCCTAGGAATTCCTAGGAATTCTCAAAAATTCCCAATTATGCAAATGACCCTTGCAAACTGAATTCCCAGTTTTCTGGGAATTTCTGGGAATTCCTAGGAATTCCTAGGAATTCCTAGGAATTCTCAAAAATTCCCAACTACGCAAATTAGCTCTGATTTAAAAAGCTTGGAATTACTGGGAATTTCTGGGAAAGGAAGACTCCAGTTTTGTGAGGACTTGGAATCCCTAGGAATTCCTAGGAATTCTCAGCTTTACAAACTACCTATAATTTAAGAAGTGTGGAACTCTTGGGAATTTCTGGGAATTGAATTTGAGGCAATTTTAATACCCTGAGGTCCACATAAATTCTAAGAAATTCTCAATACCTTGAATGTGAAGGTTTTAAGAAAAAGAGTAATTTCAGAGGCTTAAAACTTTGGCTCAATAAAAGATATGCTATACAAAACTTACCAAGAGATATACATACATGTACATGTTTATAACTTAAAGATCATGAAATTTATCACTCAAACTATGTTTTAGTAAATCTTTACATTAATATGGATTTTCTCATGAACCAGCTGTCAGTTATGTTAAATGGAAATTGCCAACTTCCACAATAATTGACAATAATTACATTGTTATCTTACTTCCCTAACCTACATTACTGGTTGCCTTTGTTAGAAAACCTTGGAACAGTCAAGCTCAGTTGCCTCCAACGCTGTCAGAGACTTTTTGTTGACAATACTTTTAGTAGAAATTTCATGCCTTAGACAAACAAATTCAACACCTAATTAATCTTTCTTTTTTCATGATTGTTGTTGCTGCTTTTTTTTTCAGTTTTTTGCTCTGTTTTCATGACTAATTGCTGTAATTTGTTTTGCTGTTTTTATTCTTACAAAACATTTTTGTAAGAGTTCCAATACTTGTGGATCATCCACACACTTTGCAAACATTTGGCATGCAGACAAGACAGAGGTAGTCAATGTTCCCTTTGAGGAAAAACACCTTTTATATGACGTCTTCAATTTACTTTATTTGAAACTCTGATCTGAAAATATTTGTCAACAAGACTTGTTAGTAGTGAGAAATACCAACTAAGTTTCCTTTCATAACTTAATTTCTTAAATGTCCCAATCACTGGATCTCCCAAAAAACATTACATCTTTTTATTTTTTGGTGCAAATTACAAGTCCTTCTTTATATAAAAATGAAAAGTGCTAGTCACACTTCAATAATAACAGCTCTTAAGTTTACTTGTTGTTCTTCTCTGTCTGTCAGCTATCAACAAAATTGTTTTATACTTCGGGCAGTGCATAACTATTTGTGGACCAGAGTTCCAACGCACCTCTGTAATCGCATACAGCTACTTCTGTCTCTTGTACAAATGTTTCTCCTTTGTAAGACGCACTCTACTCTGTTGTCAATACTGCTTTAAGTTCAGTGGAAACGACTGACTGAGGAATCGAGATGGCGGTGTTGGAACGTGTTGCTGAACGCTTTCTACGGTCAAGCTTTGTAGATTTAGGTACTGGTACACTGGGATCATCTATGTATCTCTTATACTTCCGAATGTGGTATCCTTTTTTTATAAATATGAGGGTAAAAGACGATTTGTAGTCGCATTCAAAACTGTGATTGGCTTGTGTTATTTCTCACCTTTGCCATTAACACAACTCAAGTGAGTTTCGAGTCTTTGTTTCCTCGACAACTTTCGGCCACAAAACGAGCATTTGTAATACGATCGATTCTTGTCAATTATTTCTACATAGAGTGAGCTCACATCTTTATTTATATCACCAAGCTATCCATCTTCTAGAAGCAGAGAACCGGTCGGAGAAGTCAGAATAAAGTTGGGCACTTCTCCTAACACTGCAATCGGCAAGCCAGCGGATTCTCTCGGCTAGCCAATGACAAGTCCTAAAAGATCCACGTGATCATGCCCGTGATCGGAAACAAAGAAGACTCCATTTGGCGCTCATCTTTGAATGTACTTTTCATCGGTTGATCGCTTTTCTCAACTGTTTTGCTTAATATAACATTTCTAAAGATAGCTTTTATTGTGGTTCAATGGGAAAACGAGAATAGCGTGAGTGTTGTAAAAGAAAAGAAAGTCGTTGGCGCCGCGGAGTTAAAAGAAGGGACGACAGTTGACATATTGACTGGTACAAACAAGGGTCGAATGGCCGTCTGTAAAGCTACGATTTTGAAAGTTTGTGGTGAGTAAAAATTGCGATATTCGTTACGTGATCAAAATCTTATAAAAGAATAGATGTAGCGGGTTGAATTAAGCTTACATAACGCTCGGCGCAACTGAAACTAGAATAATTCTGAGAATCGAATCGGTCACTTGCATGCCGCAGTTTCTTAAGCTTATTATGCTTTACAATGAAATAAACCTATCAGTAAGGTTTCAAGATTCCTCTAGTCACGTTTGGGAACATTCACGATTCAAAATAGGAACTGTTATTAAACAAACCTTAGTACATAAAGAAGCCCTCCTTGGTAAAAACAAAATAATGTATTCAGCCCTTTTTTAGTAAAATCCATGAGAGAGATGTACTAACTCCAATATGAAAGTCACTCAATATAACAGAGATTTCTCAATTTGAGAATCCAATGAATGCCCTTTTCATCATAGCCATCTTAAAAGCCTGGTCTGAGCTTTAAATATACATATTTTAATATATTATTTTTTTTCAAATTCAGATGTCAAGGAATCCAGATACAAAATGGTCAAGGTTCTTGTTGACAACCTCATTCAAGGCCAACTCATTGTGAGCCCAGGAAAAAAAATACAAACAGTACAAACAACAGCTAAGTTTGCAGTTTAGGATAACTTCATTCTAATTTATTGTTACGGTTACAACAAGATTTTAATCAAAAAATCAATTTCATTTGTCTGTAATTAGCCCCTTCACTCCCAAGAGTGCTTGGTTTTCAAATATAACTTAAGATATTGTATTTTATGGAAAAGAATCAACAGATTTTATTCACAATTTGTGTCAAACCAAATTTAATGATTGATTAGAACTATTTTATATGAATAGCTGTAATTGAGGATTAATCCGTATGAAGTTTTCAAGAAAAGAAAAATAAATCAAATTCCATCCTAATATTACCACACATAGATGTTAATAATTAATCAAAAATATTTTACATGTAAGCCTTAAATTAAGCTTCTGAATAAATTTCATTGAATACTTGAATTTTAGCTGGGTTTTTTTAATTTAAAGTATTTATTTTATATCATTAGCCTCAAATTTTTGCTTAAAATTCCCAGTAATTCTGAAACATTCCTAAAAATTCCCAAAAATTCCCAGAAATTCCCAGAAATTCCTAGGAATTTTTTAGATTTACAGCTTTTCAGGGAAAGTCATTGGTTCTCTAAGTTGGAATTCCTAGGAATTCCTAGGAATTCCTAGGAATTCCAAGTCCTGTTGGCTATAAACTTGGAATTTCTGGGAATTTCTAGGAATTTCTAGGTTTTTAGAACCAGAGTTGTTATGGTTGGGAATTCCTAGGAATTCCTAGGAATTCCCAGTCCGAATTTACCGTGAAAATTCACACCTTTATTCCTAGGAATTCCAAAAGCCATTTCGCAAGGGTATGCTTTGATGTGTCACCCTTCTTTGCTGGTACAGTAGATGGAATAACATTTTAAGGAATCTGAAGTTTGGTTATTGTTGTGTGCCCTCTATCATCTCACCCCCCATCACAAAGAGTTTGCCCCAGCAAATATAGCAAGTTCACTCCCGCCTATACTGGCTCACCCCAAGTTTTTAAACTTGTTTCTTCTCAAGTTTTGTCATTTAAAATGCTTGAAAATCAATCAACTTTGTAGTTTAACATATGCACCCTTGTTTCATAGATGTCAGTCTTTCAATATGACTTTAAGCCTGCTTGAATAGTGAAGTGTGTTAGTTAGAGCAAGAGCTTATGTTAATTGAGATGGAATTTACTATTATTTGTTTGGAAAAGAAATGTGGTATTCCATAAGGAAGTGGTGGGGGCAAACTGGTAAAGGTGGGGGAAACTAAATTTGATGGGGTAAATTTGTAATGGGGCAAAGCCTCCATACACCCCTTTTAATGTTCCAGGGGGTATTAATTCTTGTTTTCTATATGCTATGTTGCATTGAAAATGTCAGGTACACTGTATCTGTCTATTGATAAGTATCTTGAGTTTATTAGTTTTTTTTGTTTTTGTTTTGTTTTGTTTTGTTTTTTTGTGTGGGGAGTTAAGGGAATGCAAATGTTCCTAATAACCCATGTTCTCTCTGTAAACAATTAATGTTGTTTCGTAGTTTTGATGCT